CAGCTCTAGAATATTGCACTGGAACATAGTACTCAGTAAATATTTTAAAGTAAATGATTTTTATATTGATTAATTCAAAGTAATGATTATCCACTTGTTATTCCATTCCAACCAAATAAAAAACATATACATATATGGCTTAAATGGCATAAAGCTTATACATGATGAATCCTTAGCCTTATTAGTATTGAATAAAAAGGTGCACTCAATTTGTTGAAAGTAACCTAAGTTGTATGGCTTTATTCCTTTTTAAACTCATAGGTACAGAGCTTTCTGTACACAGAGGCAAAGTATATGCCCAAGGGAAGGATGTGACTTCAGAGTCTGTTGCTAGAGGCAGGAGTGACAATGAGAACACTGGACCAGGGGTCAGGAGAGCATGCTTTAGGGCTATGATCTATTAGTGGCTGGTCATCTCTAACTTCTCTGAGATAAACTTTCTTCACCTATAAAATATAAACATAGAAAAGATAAAGTCTGATCTTTATTTCTAAGACGTGATTAGGCTGCAATTCTGTTATTGTGGCACTATAACTGGCACACATCCTCAATGCAGTTTTGCCCTACAGCTAAGAAACACAAGTAGATTTCAGCTTTTGTGTAATCCCTACAAGAGAACAAATAATAAATAAAACATTATCAAATCATGTTGATGACTTATTAAAATATTTTATTGATAAATAAGAGGGAATTCATGTTACATCTGTTTAGAACATTAAGGTACTATCCCAGTTCTGTATTTATAGAGGTAGAACAACTTTGGTGGAAAAAAAATACCCTCTGACCATCTTTTTTTTTTTATTATAGTGACAAGAAAAACCACAAAATAATATTTTAAGAAATAGATAAGATATAGGTGACATTTTAGACCTCTTTTTGCCCCTGTGGGTTGGTATACATTCTTAGATAAGTGTAAAATAATGATTATCAGGCTAAATGGCAGGAGGAAGTATAGAGATAGTTCAAAGCTTAAGAATTTCTTCCACATGTTAACCTGGTATGCTTTGCAAGGTATAGATAACATCAAAGGTACAATTCCTGCAAGCAAACAGCAGGGTGCTTGGAGGCTGTTTGTCATATTTCCTGCACCCTTAATTTTGTTAAAAAGATTATCTAACACTTTCCCTAAGTAGATGATAGTCTTTTGTTCTCAAAATGTAGTCCATGGGCTACCTGCCTGCATCAGCATTATTTGTGATACTTGTTAAAAATTTGTATTCCACTGAGCCAAACCGGTTAGGGCATAAACAATTTTTTTTAAAAAATGTATTCCTAGCCTGCACCAGCAATCAACTGGATGAGTCCAAGATGTCTGCAGTTGTTTAAATCCTCAGGTACAATTTGCATATAAAAATGTCTGAGGATCACTATCTATTAGATTAAGAATTCATATGCTACTACATCAGATTAATGATACAGTAAAATTCAGATCCTGTATTTGCTAGTTTAATATCCAAAGCACATGGGAACTATTTTTATGGCTTTAAAAGTATAAAATATGTTTTTAAAAATCTGGAAAATGAAAAAAATTAAAACGAGAAAAATAATTCTATAACACTCTTATTTGGGGAAATAAACAGTTAATATTTGGTGAATATTTGGGTGAATTTCCTTCCAGTCACTGGATGTCATAATATGGATCATCATAGATTATGGAAGGCAGAGGCCATGTTTGTACATTTGTCACTCTATCCCCAGGTCTTACTACAATGCCTGTTATAGGACACACTCAAATATTATTGAATGAGCAAAATGAATGAATGAATGAATGAATGAATGAAATTGGTATCAAACTGTATACTTAGCTCTGGTCATATGGACACTTTCTATAAAAAGACTAGGGGCCCGGTGCACAAATTTGTGTACCTTGAAAGGAACTGTGGGCCATGAGACTGCAGTGGGCACAGGGGTGGGTCTCAGCCCATCCTCCATGCCCCTGCCTGGCCTTTCCCATGGTTCTTGTCTGAGGGCAGCCCCACTTCCACTGCCACTCACACCCGCTGATGGCACGAAAGGAACAATTGGGGCCGGTGCTGTCAGTGGGTGTGAGCAGTGACTGCTGCCCTGATTGCCTCTCGGGAGCAGGAGGAGGTGAGAAGCCCTCAGGGCCAATCAGGGCAGGCAGCCTCCACTTGCACCTGCTGATGGCACCGAGTGATCAGGACTGGTGCTGGGCACCAGCAGTAGGTGTTAGCAGTGACTCCGGCACCAGCTGAGGGTGCAAGCAGGGCTAGTGCCGGCAGTTGATGCAAGCAGTAGCTCCAGTGCCATCAGCAGGTGCGAGCACTGGGTAGGACCATGGTGTGTGGGAGCAAAGAATTTTCAGTAACCACCAGAGGCTCACCCCCATGACAGTGACCAGTGCCTCACCCCAGTCTGGCACCCCTGCTCACCTGCTCCACCATCCCACAGTGACCGATGCCTACCATGTTCTGCACACAGCCCCTGCTGGTTGTTTGATTGTTCTGCCATCCAGTCTATTTGCATATTAGCCTTTTATTATATAGGATGCCAACATTAAATAGAATATTACTTTCTGATTCCCACAGGCATCAGATCAACAAAAATATCAATAACTACTACTCTTGTACCAGAAGTTTTTCTGGTGTTTTACTCATGTTAATGTAATCCTAACAACAATATGTTGTATGCCATTTTTACCTCCATTTTATAGATCAGGAAACTGGAGCACAGAGAGTTTAAATAACTAATCCAATATCACAATGCCAGTATGTGGAAGGACAGGCTCCTGAGCCCACAGGTAGTGAGATTTTAAAAGACTTGGTTAACAAATATCTACTTATTTGTGGTCTAAAGTTAACCACATGCACATGTTTAGCACTCTAATTATAGAAAACTCTAAATATTAGGTGATTATATGACAATTAAGACTTAGACATGCATAACCCATGGACACAGACAATAGGATGATGAAGGCCTGGGGTGGGTATGGGCTGGAGGGGGTCAATGGGGACAGAAAGGGGACATATATCATAAGAATCTCTTTCACATCCCGCGTGGAAAGGGTTCCAATTCAGGGTTCGAGTTCTGGAGAAGTGCCGCACACAAATGAAAAGACTTAGAGAAATTCAATTTGGCGATATGGGGGGCCAGGCAGAAGTCCAACTCTAGTGGGAGAACTCCTCCTGCTCTGGCCCTGCCATCCCTTTTATTGAGGCTTTGGCGAAAACATCTTAGGCAGGAAATAACAGAAACTTATATGGGACAAACAAGGTGGAGGCTGCTTCAGCTAACAATGTCTCAACTAAAGGGTGAGTGGTTAGAGCAGTTAAGGTTGTTGACCAGCCTTCCTGGCTTCCTGTCAACATCTCTCTTTTAGTCAAACTGATTTGTTTCAGGCAATATATAATATTTTCAACAATAAAGAATTATTTAAAAAATAAAATAAAAGAAGTGTATTTTTAAAAAAGACTTAGAAATGGTACCTGTGTATTCACTGTGCTACTTTACAAAACTACAAAATACCTCTGCATCACTTCCAGTGTGGAATACTCAGTTAATGTGGCTAGTTCCTCTGTGCATATCCAGATGTGATGTTCCCGCCACCAATAAACGTGTCTACTTGGCTTGCATTTCAGTTGACCACACTGGCCACATAAAGCAAATACACATTCTTAAGGAAAGGTCATGTAATACTCTTACTTTTCCCAATATTTTCACCTTGGGTGACAAAAATATACATACATATAGTGTATGTATATGCCTAAGTGACTGAGGACCAAACGACCAGTTGCTATGCCATGCACTGACCACCAGGGGACAGATGCTCCATGCAGAAGATGCACCCTGGTGATCAGGGCACGCCCACAGCAGGAGTGTGCTCAGCTGACCAACCCCTCTGGGTGGCCCACAAGCCCAGTGGCAGCCACTCATTCCCTCAGCAGTCCTGCAGGTCCAATCTCCTGAGAACGGGCCAGGCACTGATGGACCAGCACCGCAGGACTCCTGGAAGTCAGCCTCAGGCCCTGCAGCAGCTTCCCCGCCCTAGGTGCCCTGCAAGGAAGAAATGATATAAAAGCCGTCGCCAGGTACCTCCCAGATCTGAATCCCAGGCAGCAAGGCATCCTACTGCTCACTCGGAGGGCTGATCACATCCCAAGTGCCACCTCGGGATGCCGCCTGTGCAAGAATTTGTGCACCAGGCCTCTAGTAAATAAATAAGAAAGAAAGAAACGGAGGAAGGGAGGAAAAAAATTTAAAGCCCAGGATATAAAATCCCATACTTTCTGTTCACAAATATGTGGTAAAATAACCATTAACGGCATTAGCCCCTGGAATCTGGATGTAAGGTAGTGTCAGAAAGGGAATCTCCTGCTCAGACTGATCCACTGCTGACCTCACCCCTAAAAGGAACCAGACTAATTCATCTTTCTAAACCACCTTCAGCCGCAAATCTGCATGAGCAAGACCCTTCTTCCTTGAACGGGCGCTTGAAAGCCAAGGAGCCCAACTAACCAAGACCAGTGCCCTGACCGCCTCCACCCCTGTCCTCCCACTGTCCCGAAATAATTGCAGCCTCCCGGGGAGCGGAGACAGAGGCGGGCGGCGGGCGGGCGGATCCTCGCCCAGACTGAACGCGCGGAGCCCCCCAGCCCGGCGGGAGCCCGCTGAGCCTGCAAATCACGGCCCGCCCGGCAGGGGGCGCCGCGGGCGAAGCCGGGCCCCCGCGAGGGGGCGCGCGAGGCCGCACGGAGCCGTCGCCGGGCCGGCCCCGCCCCTCCGCAGCCCCTCGCGCGGCGGCGGGCGAGGCCCCGGCCAGGGGAGGGGGCGGAGAGCGGCGGGCGCCCGAAACGGCCCTGCGGCCGGAGCGCCGCGCTGGGGCGGCGCGAGCCCGGGGGGCGGGGAGCGCGGGGGCGGGAGCGTGCGCCGGCGCGGAGTGGGCGGGGAGGCCGGCGCCCGGAGCGCGGGCAGAGGACGCCGCTACCCTGGACAGCGCACCGCCCGCCGGGGTCGCCGCGCCGCCGCCGCCGCCGCGGATCATGGTGAGTGCGGCCGCGCGCCGCCGCCGCTCTTTCTTTCTCCCGCCGCCGGCCCGACGCGCTGGGCGGGAAGGGGCCGAGGGGCGGCCGTGCGGGAGCTGCGGGTTCGACCGCTGGAATTCGTCGCTGTCGGGGGCCGGCGGGTCTCGGGCTCTCGGTCCGGGTCCGCGGCCCCGGCCCGGCCCCTCGAGGCGCCCGCTCGCGTCAGGCCCCCGTGGGGTGCACGCGGCCGGCCGGCGCCCCGAATGCCCGACGAAACCGCCCTCTCTCCCTCCGCACCCGCTCCCGCAGCCATGCCCGCGGCCCCGGCCTCCCGCTCCCGCTCCCGCTCCCGCCGCACACGCCGCCCTCCCTCCGCTCCGGGCGCGGGGAACGGCGTTTCCCTCGCGCGGTGCCGACCCCGCGTCGGAAATTCTGGGGTTTGGGCTCTAAACGGTTGGGTCCAGGGCCCCCCGCGCCGTGCCCGCCGTCCCGGGGGTGTGTCGGGTGCTGGCCCGCGCTCCCGGCTTTGCGCGGCGGCGGGCAGGTGTCCCCTCGGGAGGGAGGCGGGTGTGCTCTCCCCTCTCCGCTCCCGGCCCCGCGGGGAGGGGGGTGTCTGCCCCTGGCCCCTGACCCGCCTGAAGGCTTGGGCAGCTCAGCTTGGCTCTGTAGCTAGGGAAGACTAAGTGCGGGTGCCCGGGTCCCAGGCAGAGCGGGGAGCCCACATTTGTCTCCAGAGGGTCCATCTATTATCTTGGCTCCTCTCCTCCCTCCCATGTGGTTTCCTTGCCACCTCGGGGCTGGTAAAATATGCGAATCTGTTCTCTCCCCGCTCCGGCTGACACTAATCAGCCCTAGCTTTTGCCCTCTCTACCCTTCCAGGTGCACAGTATGTGTCTGATGAAATCTGAAGCCTTCTTCCAGCCACTTTCTCTACAACTCCATTCACCACAGTTCATATTCCCCTTAACTGCTTCATTTTTCCCCCTGTATCTGATATTTGACTTGCTGTGGATTTTGTTTGTCTTGATTGAATATGTTCCCCCACCAGAATGTAAGTTTCAGTATGGCTGAGATTTTTGTCACGTTCTCCACTGCTATATTTTTAGTAGCTGCAACAGCGCCTGGCACATAGTAAGTGCTCAATGTGTTTTATTTGTGTGGTTTTTTTTATTAACCCAATAAAGCAGCATACTTTATGCATATGTGCAAATGGGAAGCAGCAATGCGACTATGAGGATTATCGACCCAATTGACAATTGATGAGAACCTCCAGTGAAGTTTGAGAGAAGGGATATTCTTGGAAAGGAGAGAGTGGATCAGGTGATCCTCAGGGATGGGAGTGTTGGGTGGCCATCATTTATGCCTGGATCTGTCAACTTCATGCTCTTGACACCTCGGTGGGCAAATCAGTTTTAGGGTCAACTGGCTCTCTCCCTCCAGGTCTGAACCTTTGTTTCAAATTATTACAAATTCTAATAAGTAAGGGAACAAGTCCAAGGACAACTCCCTAATTGGATGAAGAGTTGTGGGAATTAATCCAAAAGAGCCAAAATTAAGGGCAAGCTCTTATAAGCTCTACTCTATACAATTGAGGTTCTTCCTCTGTAGATAAGCATTTCTCAGTAACTTTGAGTCTGCAGAGGAGCTATTTTTAAATCCAAGTCGTTTCACTATTAAAAAAAATACAAGGCCTGGGGTGAAATTCATAAATCATAAATCAGTGGGTTAGTTGAGAGAGATATCCCTTTGGATTCATGTCCAACATGAACAGTCTCACTGTGTCTTAACTCCAAAACAGATTCTTCCCTTCAAAGTCCCTTTTGGTTTTCTATTTCCATAGTGTAAATTGATGGCAATCTTTGTGTTAAGCCTATGGACATGTATTTTTTTATCTATATAATTTGAGTCAAACGGTTTGATAAAATTTTCATGGGCAAGTTTCTGAAAATTAATAATTATAGCCATCACTGTATAAGTGCAGTGGTTCTATTATTGCTGTTTAGTCCAGATAGGTGATAGAAATTATGGGTAAAAAGCAAAGGAAGGTAATTATGGGTAAAAAGCAAAGGAAGGTAAGTTTGTATTTGAAATTAAAATCATCCAAGCAAACATAAATTAAAAACACCTTAATTTTTTTTAGTCCAATTTATATTTCTAGGAGATTTTGCTATGTTATGATTCCAGTCAAAGTATCAAGCCATTTTTTCTATTTCTTGAAAATGTTGCATTGTCAAGGAATACAAAATTCATTTTAAAATTTTTCTCGTTGGTTAAACTTAATTTTTGGTTCCTCAACAAAATGTTGCAATTTAATCCGCTTTTCTCCAAACATTTAAATCACAGTTTGGGAGCTTCAGGTACTTTTATAGTTTGGAAGACATTGTTTAAAATTTAAGTGGATCCTTGTCATCTGTCTAGTTATATTCAGAAAACAGGGCTCTGTCATCAGGATTATGTACACAGTCATCTCCATTGTACCATCTAACTTGATGAGTTTGGGTTTTTAAGAGTAGATATTGATAAAGGGTAAGAAGTTGCCCTGGAAACTCTTATTTAGGCGCAGCATGGTGAAAATATGCCAATATCAGTAGCTTATCATAATTCCAAAGTTACACATTTGTATTTTTTTCTTAAGAGAAACTAGGACATTACTGATATATAACTGACTCTGACAATGAACCATTCTAATAAATTGTTAGTTTAAATATAATTATTTAAAAATCTTAACAATTTAGTCATTGCAGATGATAATGAGCTATCCTAATAAATGGTTAGTTTAAATATAACCATTTAAAAATCTTAACAACTTAATCATTGCAGATGACAATGAGCCATTCTAATAAATTGTTAGTTTAAGTATAACCATTTATAAGTCTAACAATTTAATCATTGCAGAGTATAAATTGTTCTGGAATTGATGATGTGGCAATTTAGAGCTTAAGATTTGGGGTGAGTCATGAGTTTGAATCACAAGGCCAACATTTAACTGTGACTTAGGACAGATTAATTTCTTTAGGCCTCAGGTTTTTCTTTTATAAAAGAAGACTGAAATATTCCTAAGGTTATTGGGAGAAACAAATAAGATAATGCACTTTTAAAAAACATAATGTTGCCCTGGCTGGTTTGGCTCAGTGGACGGAGCGTTGGCCTGTGGACTGAAGGGTCTCAGATTTGATTCCAGTCAGGAGCACGTGTCTGGGTTGCAGGCTGGATACCCCGTGGAAGGCATGTAGGAGGCAGCCAATTGGTGATTCTCTCTCATCATTGATGTTTGTATCTCTCTCCCTCTCCCTTCATCTCTAAAATCAATAAAAATATTTTTTTAAAAAGGAAAAGCAATTCAATGTTAAAAAAACACACACAATGCTTTCAGTGCTCAATAAATATTAACTATTATAATGACGTGTTCCTTTCTCCCACATCTGTTTTCAGTTGAGAGACCTCAGAATGATGTCTGTGACTCACCGCTTAGTTCTCTTCCCTTATGTGGTGTTAATACACATCTATATCAGCAGTGTCCAGTAGAAATATAATGCAAGCCACCTAGTCATTTTTAAATTTTTAGTAGTCACATTAAAAGTAAAAAGACATAAAATTGATTTTTAATATATTAACTCAATTCGTGCAAATATTATTTCAACATGTAATCAGTGTGAAAAATGTTAGCGAGATATTTTCTTTTTTACCTGAAATCTTCAAAATCTGGTGTATATTTATACTTACAGCACATTCAGTTCATGCTAGCCACAATTTCAAGTGCTCCATAGCCACATATGGTGAGGAGCTACTGTATTGGACAAAACAGCTCTAATTTACCTCTTTCTCCACAGCTTTCAAATTTACCTCTTATCTGTTAGACCCTTTCCACTTGTGAGAACTCACTGCCACCTTAAACCTCGCGTTACAAAAAGAAAGCTCATCTTTCAGACTCTCCTCTCTGTTCCCATGTGCTGTTAGTAATTCCACCAGCTCTCAAGTCTACTGTGTCTGATATCTGATTCTTACTCTTTTTTTCTTTTATGTTTATTGTATAATATCCTCATATTTTTACTTGAAAATATCTTTAAATCTCCTCTCCAAACCCCTTTCTCTATCCCTGCCTTTCCTGCAGGTTTCCTCTTTTGTGGTCTCTTTGTTTTTAACTTTTTTACTTGAAGTTTGTTATTTTTTCAAGGCCAGGTTCATCATTTTCATGTAGTAACTTAATGCTGGGGGGCTCTAGTCTCCTATTATGTTCAAAGTTTCTCCCCCTTCCCTTCTTGAGAAAGGTAGCTCTCTCCCTGTGAGTCACTGGGCCCCACGTTCTCTCCACTCTTCCATCAGCCCTTGTTCATGTTGTCACGAATGCTTTCGATTTTATAGTTTATGCCTATGTTAAACACCTTTCCTTTACCAGAGAGCTAAGAAATGTTATTACTTTAACTGATAGTCTGATGTTAAAATGATCCACCCAAGTAAAGAAGCACAAAAGAAAGGAAAAAAATAAATCATGGAAAGGGGAAATGAAACTATTTGAACTTTATCTACCTAATTAATAATAATAAAGCAACAACCACAACAGTGATGACACTTTACATTTACTCAGTGCTTTATAGGAAACAGCATTTGCTCTGTACCTAGTAAACAGAGGCTCAAAACAAAAGAATGGACCACAAGTCAGGAGACCTGGTTTCTAGTCCTGGCTTTATTATTAACTATAATAGGAGTCCAATGCACCTTGACAGGAAATGCCGGCTGCAAGGGCACAGGGGCAGATCTCAGCCCATCCTCTGTGCGGGGCCAGGCCCCTCCTGCTGAAGTCCCCCGTCCCCTGTCTGCCAGCAGCCCCCGCTGCCACCAAAGGCTCCCACACACTGATAATGCTGGCCCCACTCGCACCTGCTGAAAGCCTGGAACTATTGAGGCCAGGACGTCAGTGGGTGCAAGTGTTGGCTGCTGTCCTGATAGCTCCTAAGGAGCAGGGGGAGGTGGAGAAGCCCGATCGGGGCCAGCAGCTGCTGCTCGCACCCACTCCCTGCACT